CATTCTCTGCTCTTTCTTACTCCTAATTTTTTTCTAGATCAAGCAGATAAACTGGCCACAGCAGGGATCCCGTTACTTGGCCCAAGTTATATCAGTATCAGTCAAAAGGAGAGAGAACAATGAGTTTTTTGTCTATAATCACACATATTCAGCATTCAGTCTGGTCCACATTACACATTATTCTGTAAAAGAAACTAAGAAATACAAACTGACCAACCACAGCTTGATTTATGTGCATCACGCACTTGCTATTCAAGTTTCTTGCACACTCAAATATTTTGCAAAGCCGCATTAACTTCGAGTCACATAATCTTGGTGTGTGGTGCTTGTGTTCATGTGACTACGGCAAGCAGAGGAAATGTCATCTCAGCCCAATGAGTCACATTCACGTCACTACTGCACTCACACACAGCCTATTTGTAGCGTAAATGTAATGTTGGCGTAGCTCAAACAGGTTAATGGTAAGTTCCCTTACTCTACACGGTGAAAAACTATAATAGATCTAAATTGAGTAAAATGCTGGTAAATGTACAATTTTTGGAAGTGAAAAAGAACAAGTCATTTTACAATAGTTTTTCTCTTATTATTTATGCACATTAGAGTTATAGGGCCCTATGAAATTTTTTTTTGAAATTCCATTTTATTTTTGTTTTTCCAAATTCCGTTTTTTTCCGTTTAAACTTTTCTGGACTCCTTTTCAATGGTTAAATAAAATTGTATTAATCAAAAAGCATGTCTAATTAATTTAAATCATGAAACTTATGCAATTTAACATCAATTTATTAAAAGTTTAACAAAAATTACATGTTTAGGGCCCTATGTTTTTTTTTTCTCCTCACTTTGTTTTATTTCCGTCTAATTATCTGAATGCATAAAAACAACATTAAAATGTATATTTACAATAGCCTTGTGGATTTTGTTTTCTCAGAAATTCTGGGTTGTGTATTTGATTTTTTTCTGGTTAACAAATGAAGGCATAAAACATTAATTTAATTTAACTTTTAATTAAAAGGGTTATACACGATCCCAGCCGTGGAATAAGGGTCTTGTTTATATACTTTTAACCACAAATGCACATCTTAGAATATTCCATCTCATTTTCTCCTCTAACTTCAAAATCGTCCGTCATCGTTGTTTTACCTTTTTTTTTTTTGTAAGGGGCATGACTTTCTTTGCACATTCACTTTATAAACACTATCTTTGCACATTCACTTTATAAACACTAGGTCGGTACTTCCGTCTACGTCCTTTCCAATGTGACTACCTAATGGGTGAAGTTGAGCTGGTGCAAGATGATCATTTGTGGTTAAAAGTATAATTCTTTTTTTTTTTTTTTTAAATGACCTATGGTTTCGCTAGATAAGAATCTTATTCCTCAGCTGGGATCGTGTATATCCCTTTGAAACTGACTGCAATTTGAACCTTCAACCCATTGGCCACCACTGAAGTCCATTATATGGAGAAAAATGTCTTTGCGACTGAAGAAAGAAAGACATGAACATCTTGGATGACATGGGGGTGAGTAAATTATCAGGAAATTTGTATTCTGGAAGTGAACTAATCCTGTAATAACAGAATGATCAACATGACAGCTCATGGCAGCCCTGAGATCATCTTTTAAATGCGTTTTCCTGGAATCCGCCAACTACAGTGTGTCCTGAGATGGTCTTAAAACAGTGGAGGGCAGAACTTTAAAGAGATGACGCATTTCTGTGTCATACACACTCTTTCAATATCACACGACTCGCAAGCGCAAGCGAAAGCCAGGAAATCAATGCAGCAGGCATACGTCAAAAATAACACGAACAACAATAACAGACTGTTTCAAGCTCTGTATGTGGAATGCAGACTGATTTATTTTAATCATTGGCCTAGCTAAACAATCATGCGGCACCGGAGGATTTTGCTGCAGATCTGATGTGTGATCTATGAGGAGGAGCCCAGAGCAGACGGGCCGCTGTGCTGAGCAAACATCCTGAAGCTCTGCAGAGTAAACATCCTGCCGTTTAAGTGAACAAATGAAAGCGTACAGGAGAAATCTCATGAGTAAACACCACATATATATATGACTATAGACTGTGCATAAGAGAGCGATTCTCACCAACCAAGTTACCAGTAGTGTCAAACTTTTCTTAATATTAAATAGTTTAATTTAAATTTAAAGGGATAGTTCACTCATAAATTAAAATTATGTCAAACAGAATGTCAATGCTGCAGGGTTTGCAGTGGCTTCCTGGTCCCCATCCACTTTCACTGCATGAAGAAAAGCTGCATGAACATTCAGGCAAAAGAGCATCAGTTAAAGTGAACCAGTGGGGATCAGGTCTGGCTTTTGTGCAGGCCAGTTAAACTGGTAATGCAGCACCTGCACTACTGAACAAAACCGTTGTCTGACAGAATCCCAAATTGATTTCTGCACCTAAACAAACCAATTTAACAAAAACCACAATCCGAAAGTTTTAGAGGGCTGCAGCACCGCTGTTACATGCGTCATAATCACAGACAATGGCAACTTAAATCTGAAACGCATAAAGGGTGATATTAAATAATATAAACAATGAACATTTTTTTACATTTTAAAAATAGCCTTGGCTATTTGACCCACAGTCTTCGGGACAGGGGTACTGTCATGTGAGAATATGCCAAATTGCTGAACTCGCAGCCACTACTGTCTGCTCCTTATCCAGAGACGGCATGAAGAATGCAATGGCAGCACTGCTGCAGCATTGCTATGACATTTCAGTGTTCATCACAGCAGCTAATAACCAGGCAATACGTCCAGAGATATGTGTTTTGCATTTGACATAAGTTGATCAAAACACTGTCCAGTAAAACACCAAGTGTACAGTATGTGGGTTCATCATTTCTGATATGTGATATAATGTGGGTATGTGAATAATGGCGATAATAACCACAATTCTTCACAAATAACCCCCAAAAAAGAAAATTGCATGTTAGGGCTGTCAAAAAAAAAAAAAAAAAAAGTGTTGAATTTCGAATATTTGTTGAATTTAAAATAAAAATCCACATTCGAATGCAAAAATGTTGCATTCGAATTTTAGGTGTGCGTCAGGCAGCTTTATCAGCGGAGCACGAGATGCGATGACGATGTAAGTGTCGTTGCATTATAATGTTTTTGTTAGCTTATCCAGTTGAACCCACTAGATGCAGCGCTGCTACGTTGTTCATTAAAAATATTGCGGAAAAAGAGAACATCAATGCGGAGAAGATCTTGTTTACATCAAAACTGAAACCAAGCCATTCACACAGAACACATATTTTGCGCATTTTCTAGAGGGACATCTATCAGCGTTGCACTCGCATCTCGCAAAAAGGAGCCGCATGTTTAGAAAGCCATGTACAATTAATGCAAGTTAACTTTGAAAAAAAACAAATAGAGACTTTATGGCAGGGTTTTTCCCCATCCCACTGCATCTCATGTTTTTAAATGAAAACTGTACCCTGTCTGATTGGCTTTCTGCCCTTTGTATTAAACTATGCATACATACATGATGCCGTTTTGTTTATAGTTGTTTAAGCAACTTAATTATAATTGGTTTATAAACATTATGCACTTTTTTTTTTTTTACAGATAGTCATGCTATCTTATGCTTTGAATAAATGTGCATTATAATATTTAGCTCGATGCGCCCTCTTGTGACCTCAGAAGAGAAGCCAAAAGCTTTTCTTCACCTTACCTGAAACGATGCATTTTAAATTCTAATTTAATTAGAATTTTTATCATATTTAAGTACAAAATTCAAATTTAGTTTTTCAGCCATTTTGACAGCCCTATTGCATGTAAACAGGAGAAAAGATGTTTGCTTGTGTCACATAAACATCTTTCTGCTATTAAGTAGGGCTGGACGATATGGCCAAAATTTATATCACGATATATTTCTTAATTTCGGTCGATACGATATAATTCCGATATCGATATGAACACTATTTATCTGAAATAGAAATGTTTTGTAACATTATAAATGCCTTTATCACAACTTTTGATCAATTTTAAGCATCCTTGCTAAATAAAAGTATTAATTTCTATAATTTCTTTCCCAAAACAATAATAAAAATTATACTGACTCCAAGCTTTTGAATGGAATAGTGTATGTTACAAAGTTTCAAATTTCAAATAAATGCTGATCTTTGGATCTTTCTATTAATCAAAGAATCCTGAAAAAAAATGCACTCATCTGTTTTAAATATTGATATTCAGATTATTATACTGATTTCTGAAGGATCATGTGACACTGAAGACTGGAGAAATGATGCTGAAAATTCAGCTATGATCACAGGAATAAATTACATTTTAAAATCTAAAATCTTACATTAAAATCTATTCAAATAGAAAGCAATTTTAAATAATACAAATATTTCAAAATTGTACTGTTTTTGCTGTACTTTGGAATCCTTGGTGAGCAGAAGAGAATTAAAAAAAACTGATTATTCTTATAGTTTGAAGCAAATGTGCTTCAGCCAGAAAAAAGGGTATGAAAAGTGCTCCGAGTCGCTGCAGAAAAAAAAAATGGAACAACAAAAACTGGAGACGGCTTATTATTGAAAATGCTAATTCATTCTCTGCCAGCAGGAGGCGCTTTTAGAATGATAAAACTAGCGGTTTCCCCGGTAACGGCTGTAATCAAAGCAACTCCGCTCATAAACGCTACTTTATCAGATAAAAATAAAAATGCCATCGAAACTTTTCTGAAGACAGTCCTTTCCCTTCAGAGATAGAGATTCAAGATTTTTATTTGTCACATACATGGTTATATAGGGAATATATGACCAGCAGTGAAATGTAAGTCAGGTCCGCTCCATGGACAGTGCAATTATTAAAGAATACAAACACAAGAAAATTATATATAAATATAGGTATGGAAAAAGTAAGATAAAAAATAAGAATAAAATAAAATGCACAGGACAGTATACTGTAGGCTTAATAAATATTTAGATGAGCAGGAATGTACAATAGAAGAATGCTGAAAATTCAGCTATGATCACATGGCCCACCTTGCGCCGTGGGGGCTCGGGGACACCCTTTGACTCGCGCGTGCGTTAGACTCCTTGGTCCGTGTTTCAAGACGGGTCAAGATGGGTGGCCGACCTCGCCGCGGACCTTGATACATTCATATAAAACAGCCGCACCGCGTTTTGATTTTGAAACGTGCAGTGCTCATGTTTATTCAATGAAGTCAAACGCCACAAATAAAATAATGTATGGGAAACACTGTAATGTATATTGAAATATCGGAAATGTGTTTAAAAATCATATCACCGTTATTGAAAAAAATTATATCGCAATACATATTGATATTGAATTATTGTCTAGCCCTACTATTAAGTCCTTACTCTGATTAGTGAAAATAATTGCATTCTTGGTGCACATTTAAACATAGACATTGATTTTTTTTTTTTCAATTACTTTATTATCTAAAGTGTATTATCTAACAAAACTACAAACTTTCAAGAAAAAAAAAACACCATTCACAGATGTCCCACCACTACTTTTGTGCAAATGGATGAAGTTGTATGCATTACAGGTAGGTAGATCTGCTTTTGAAGAAATATCATAGAATTGTGTGCTACAGCGCACATTCTATCAGTTCTCAATATACTGTACAACGCGACATTCACATCAAATGTTAACTCAGCGATAGAGTTACACTCAGGGAACACTGCACTTATTCGCAATCACAAAAGTACATTAGTTATTTACACATCTCTTTGGCCAAGCATTCAAATAATGCATCTCATAATCTTGTACTGCAGTTATATCTGATCAAAGGCACATTATTATTCTTTAGCTTGGGTTAAACAAATAAATTTTGCTTGGTTGGAACTGGGGTTGTGACGGTGAGGAAATTTTCCCACCGGTTAATCGTCACCGTGGGGGCGCGGGCATGAGCATTTTACTTTCACTTTCAAATAGCGGCAATTCGGCGTCAATTGCTTGAATGCAACAACAAAATACAACGTCAAACTCACTTTAGCCTATATATAAAACATAGAACTTTTATTAACAAAACGAATAAAAATACACCATGCTATAAGGTAGGCTATGCCTAATACAAAATAACTTACAAAGTTTAAAATGTACAAAACTGGAAATAAGTAAACATAATATATAACCAAATAAATAAGAACGACCGTTTAGCAAAACGAATAAGAAAGCTTGGAGGCACAGCATACACCTTGATGTCAAATAAAATCAATAAATTATACAAAGTTTAAATAAAGTAAAAATCAGCAAACACTGTGGAACAATTAAATAAGAAACGAATGTTTAAAAAAACCTTCCAAAATCACCTTAGATAAACGGCAAAAGTCAACAGGCTTTTCAAAATTTGATTGCATCATATAATAATTGCTGTTAATAGTGTTCATCGTATGTTTGATTACGTCTCTAATTGATTTTCCGTAAATTTCTGCCATATGTACATTAACTGACAGTCACCACTAGTAAGCTACTACTAAATATTGTAGAAACAATTAGTAATTTTCTGTAAAGTTGCTTTGCAACGATTTGTATCGTGAAAAGCGCTATACAAATAAACTTGAACTGAATTGAATTATTTGGATGTGCTTTAAAGCCTTGCCGGATAAACACTTCATTCATGTGCTGTTCTGACAATCGCTTTTCCTGAGCACTTTCATGTTGTCCCAAACCTTTATTTCTTTCTTTTTTGTGCTGAACACAAAAGAAGAGATTTTGAAGAATGTGGGTAACCAAACAGTTGCTGGTCCACATTGACTGAAGGATGAATGGTTGAAATGACTTTCTGTGATAGCCAATAGCATATCACAGGTGCTGTCCTTATAGCTTAAATGTACCACTACATTCTGGATATCTATTGATGGTAACAACTCAGACACACAGTCAACATCCCACATGACAGGAAGTCACGTGACCACAGCGGTCACACAGATAATCAACAGTGCAGGAAACTGAGCAGAGAAAAAAAATCATCATCATCCCATTTTACACTGCAGCTCAACTAACGCAAGTCAAATGCTAATAATATTAATCTGCACTGCATTTCCCATGATCCTTAGATGCACCATGATTTAAAGGGCAGTGAGATGAAGGCTTCTTCCTCACCTAGACACAGCCCTGAAAGACAGCGGAGACCAGGACAACTAGATGAGCCCCAGATACAGATCCCTGTATAGATCTAGTCTCAGACGACCACCGGGACAAGACCACAGGAACCAGTTGAGTCCTCTGCACAATGTGACTTTGCTGCAGCCTGGAATTGAACAGCTGGTTTCGTCTGGTCAGAGGAGAACTGGCCCCCCGACTGAGCTTGGTTTCTCCCAAGGTTTTTTCTCCATTCTGTTACCGATGGAGTTTTGGTTCCTTGCCGCTGTCGCCTCTGGCTTGCTTAGTTGGGGACACTTCATTTCCAGCGATTATCATTGACTTTATTGTAAATGATTGCACAGAGACTATTTAAACTGAACTGAGCTGGATGATGACATCACTGAATCCAATGATGAACTGTCTTTAACTGAAAAATGAGTGTTTACTATTGTCATTTTGCATTATTGACACACTATTTTCCTAATTAATGCTGTTCAGTTGCTTTGACACATGTATTGTTAAAAGCACTATATAAATAAAGGTGACTTGACTTGACTTCTTCCTGCCAGGGTTCAGTTTAAGGTGTCATTTCCTGTCAAGTCTCTTTCTCAAGTGGCGGTTTAGACAGCCCACACCCTTACTGTAACATGTAAGCCAGAACAAGGAGGAGCGAGAATACAAATGCAAGCACAGGGGTTTATTAAAAACAAAAAACAAATAATCCAATCCACGAACCAAGGTACAATCCACATAGAGGAGTCAGGAACATAATCTACACGCCGAAGGCAAGAGTGTAAACCAGAAAAACACGTACAGGAACCAACGACCGACAAACCACAACTGAAGCACAGACCTTTATATATATATATATATATATATATATATATATATATATATACACACACACACACACACACACACACACACAGACTTGACTTAAGCTAATGACACACAGGTGGAAGTAATCACACAACAATAAGTCCAGGCAAAGGTTTATGGGATATGTAGTCTGTGACGGAATGGCAAAGGAGTAGTAAGGAGTGCCCTCCAGTGGAGCTCATGGGCACTCCAGCTGGTGATCGTGACACTTATTATGGGAAAGAGCGCTAGTAACCAGACTTACTTTCAACACCCAGCCAAGTTGCAATCTGTACAAGTATAAAAAATTCATGGAAATATGTTATTCACTCTTAGAATCTGAAAAATCTAGATATACGATAAACTGATCTGTTAACTAATATATTTCAAATAGACAAATATCATCACCAATCAATATTTCATGTACATTTGTTTATTCATTTGGAAAGTGGATGTGTAATAAATGGGACAGTCAGTAGAGTGAGTCCTGACATGAAGTGGAGTTACATGTATATTTATTCATTTAGCAGTAATTATACTTATATAACAGTAATAACTTCTCACAATTATATATTAGTAATTACCCTATGTGCTTTGGAATAAAACAATTTTATGAAAGCTTAAAAAAACTGAACACTTCCATGTTTTTAAGTTTACAAACTTATATGGATTTGATAGTTTTGAAGGCTCAAGTCTGTTGAAATCTTTGAAATATGAGACACTTTGTAGCAAGTAAACAAGAAACGCTCAAGCAGAGCTGTATGCTGTGCTTTGTGCAGGGGCCAAAAATGTATTCTGTTTAAGATGGTTTCTACCTTTGTGGATGGTTCTTGGCCATAATACTTGCAAAGTGAAGAACATTTTACATCGATACTCGATAGTCTGGCTATGCGAGACTGAGACATCAGCTTTCTCCTAGAAAACATCCCAACCCCCTCACTGAACCTAGACAGCTGAGCCACATTCCTCACCATCACACAACAAGTGTTACAAACACACATGGAAACACCACGCTACAACATACTGTTAAACATGCAGGAGACATGCTGCTTAAAAAAAGCAGAGAATTCAGAGAGAACTACTGCTCATGTATTCAGTGGTATGCAGAAGATTGCCTCAGACTTCTTGAGTCTGGACAAGTTGCAGCCTGTTTCAGTCTCACTAGGAAGACAGACGAATTAAACATTACAGGTGAATGTGCAGGAAAGGTAGAAGAGTCAGAATTAGTTCAGATACGCCAGTTTTTAGAAGAGGCTAAAACCAAACTCATCAGGAATTTCCACAGCAACACAGCACAGGTCACAGAAAGCATTAGGGGTGTGCGATATGTATCGTCTGCGATAATATCGTAATTGTTGTTTTAACGATGTGCGATTTGACATTATCGAGTATTTTGCAAAAACCATTCAAAACATCCCTACAGAGCGCACGCATACATTACGTGAAGCCTAGACTAGTGCGTGTGCGCATTTAGAGTGCGTTCTTTCACTGCATGATTCAGTCTATTAAAATGCATTTAGAATGATCACAAATTCAAGACATGATGGCAGATAATTTATACCACTTCATATTCAATTTCACACGAAGAGTGCCGTTTTTCTCCAAAAATTTCCATGATTACAAATTTGACATTGAATTCATAAACAATAAGTTAATTAAGAGACTTACGTTTTAGACACCATTTTGCTAATTGCATATTCCCCAACAAAAATCATCCCGAATACAGCTGCGGCGCTGTTTTGTGTCTCGGAGCAACATGCCGGTGTTTCGTTCTTGAATGAAACAACCGTTTAAATGATTCGGTTCAATCGCAATGACTCACACATTTACTGCCAAAAACTGTACATTTTACTGTATAAAACTTATATAATTTACGAACAAGAAAATGTGAATGTAAACCAGTAAATTCAACAACGCACACTGCTATTAAAATCTAGTTTGTACCTTTAACATACTGACAACCAGCATAATAATGCAGGTGGTAAAAGAGAAAGCCACATGAAGAATCAAAGCTCATCACAAGTAGCTTCGCCACAAGCAGGAGAATATACTAATATACAGAAGGTCATTCATGCAAACACAAAACACCATCATGGTAACACACATGATACTTAAATAATGCATTCAACTTTCA